CACCTCAGGATGCCTGGACTAGAGCTGGCTCCAGACTGCCAAAGCCAAAGTCAGTTGACTGTAGCAATGGCAAGTAGAATATACTTCAACCTGAGGCATTTCAATCATTTTGTCATCATTTGGAGCTGATACTGTCGATTATGTATGCACAATAGCATTTGTATGTGCATGATCTGTTTTTGACAAAGTTATCAAACCTCATCTGCCTTGCTTTCATGATAGGGGGGGGGGGGGGGGGGGGGTCTGGCTAATAGAGGTGCCGGTAATACCAGAAAATCCGGTTTCTATATTGAGCGGGGACGTGACGGGGTGCGAATGGGTTGACAGTGCATGCATTAGATTTAACAAGTAGCTTTGGTATCCTGTCTCAATAGGGGAGGAGGGGGGATGGGAAGGTGTGTGTGTGTGTGTGTGTGTGTGTGTGTGTGTGTGTGTGTGTGTGTGTGTGTGTGTGTGTGTTTGGAGGGAGAGAGAAAGAAAGAAAGAGGCTCCGTTCGAAAATCATACACTGTCTGTAAAGGTGCTGGACTCACTGGGTGAATGTGAACGTGCCCGATGAGAAATCCCATTAATTATCATTTGCAAATGCAGCGGCTTCTTTAAACACACGCTGAAACTCGGGCCTATGAACGAGACCCTCTGTTGTGTGTGGGATCCACATATCCTCTGTCTCCACTTATTTGCATATTCATTAGTTTTACACAACGGTAAAAGCGACGCAGACGTCCAGTCCGCAATTTTACCTGTTAAAAAACTGAACAAAAATACTTAATTTCCACATTTCCAGTCAACGCACTGAGCTCGATGCACTTTGTGTTTGACCTTTGCCGAGCTTCAGGTCCTGGTTCGGGTGTAAGATTTCTATAAATACCGGGAACCTGATTTAAAAACAATAATATTTTTAGCAACTTCAGAAATGTTCACACAGCCTTCATGACTGTTTTCACTTTAGAGCATTTACATTTATAGTTACAAAGCCCATTTTTACCCTGAGTGGAACATGTATCTATGTCTGTATATACATTTCCCATTATTATGTAACAATATATGAAGGACTATCCTAATAGTACAGTAATTCTATTTATTAATTTTTATAATTTAGGAATTGTGGAAATATATTCTGAAATGTAACATATTTAATCATCTGTGTGTCCAATAAAAATGTTATTGTAAATGCAATATGTACAAAATGTATTATACTATGTATAATTCTGCAGTACATGTGTGCATTATGGTGTGATTCATATTTAATAATTTACATAATTATAGTTCGACATTATACTTTATATAAATATATTATACACTTATTCATACAGTGTAATTTATTTTATATTGATAAAATATTTGAGATATTTCATGAGACATTTAGCTGCATGTCTCCTTTCAATTTGACATAAATGATTTTACCAAAAAAATAAGACCATGTCATTTTAAAACCTTCAACAAACACACGTCCACCCTGCAGAACCATTTAAACAGATTATTCTCCACTCTGACTGATATTGCTCCTCGCTGACATGTATTATGGTCCCAATTTAAAATGATTCTGTAATGTTGAAAGGAAAAAAAGCATAGTAATGCATGGTGATAATGCTATTGAAATGTATTCAAGAGGGCCTCTCACTGGGACTCAAGGTGCATGACACTGTATTGAGATTCCAGATATCCAGACTCTCCATGCATGTCCCTGATGGGGTTTTGACTGACATGATGGGCATAGAGGATTGTTGTTTTGGGATGGGGGTTGGGGTACGTGTGTGTGTGTTTGCTGGGAAGGTTAGGATGGGGGTTACCTTTGTGCTTGCCCCCCTTAGAGATTCAGAAAGCTGTATTCCTGGCCCTAGGCCTCGGCACAGGGGGTAGATATGATGTGGGGTTGGCCATACCAGGGCAGGAGGGGGGTTACGATGAGGGGGGTTTGTTTCAGATCTTTGGAAAGAGAGACACACATACACACATACACATTTTTTTTTTTTTTTTTTATACCTTCTCACAAGCCCAAACTGGGTGTATCACTTACAGAAATTCAAAGTAAAAAAAAAAAAAAAACTCATTCCCCCCATGTTTCTTCATATCCCGGAAAACCTGCAATCCATCAATTTGCTGAAGCCTCTTATTTAGATCAGCATGGTGTCTGCTTGAATATGGTCGCGCTTGACAAGGTGATGGAATGACAGCCGCATACCAACGCCATAAGACTCAGCCCCCATTTGATAAAACCCCACAATGATATTACACAGACGTTTAGATTACTGATAGGAGCAGTGGGAAAGCCTTTGTCTCTCTCTGTCTGTCTTGCTCTCTCTCCCCTCCCTGTTCCATTGCTTTGCTTTCATTCTACTCTCTCTCTCTCTCTCTCTCTCTCTTTCTTCCCTTTTCTGTGATGTTAGCCCCTGGGCAGTAGTTGTGCAAGTGTGTGTGTGTGTGTGTGTGATTAAGGTTGGGTTTACCCCGCAGTAGCACAGGTGTGCAGTATTATGGAGGGCGTGGCAGAGCTTGTCATTGAACAGGTGTGTTACTTCCCAGACAGCAGACGGTTTTTGTTTACATGACTGTATGTGTGTGTGTGTGTGAGAGAGAATGTGTGTGTGTGACCCAGTAATACAGGCAGAAAGAGCGTACATTCATGTTACATGTGTGTACACATTCACAGCTGCACACACACACACACACACACACACACACACACACACACACACACAGACACACACACACACACACACACACAGACATGCAGGGTTTCTACCATAAGCCGCTTGTGTTTTGTGCTTTGAAAAAGTAATAAGCCATAATCATGATGTTTGGGTTAGACTTGATAACCTCCCTGCAACTTCTCTCCGTCTTTTCTCTCAATCCTTCCTCTCTGGCCTCATCTCCTGACCTTTTTCTTCTTCTCCTCTCTGTTCTCCCATCATTTCCTCTTCTTCTTTCACTCTTCTCCCTGTGTTCAGTCTTGTTAGTGAAGCACAAGATCCTGCAGTGAAATTCTGCATTTCTCTGCTATAAATGTGAGTAGATGTGAGTGAGTGTGTGTGTGTGTGTGTGTGCTACATGTAGCCGCCCTGTCCATTCATCATGTGGCTGTCAGCAATGTCTCTCCTCTCTTGGAAGTTTCTCGGCTTTGGCTTTGAGCGTCAAAGTGGCACTGATGAGACACACCCCTTCGCCCTTCTACATGCACACACAAACTGGCATGACGTGGAAAGAAAGGATGATGGGTTTGTGCATGTGTACGTGTGTTTGGAAGTTGTGTGCGTAGTGTTAGAGATACAGAGGTCTGCAGTTAGTACGTATATGTATTTGTGTGTGTGTGTGTGTGTGTGCAGGATGCTGATTATGTTCAAATGCAAGGGAGGAAAAGCCCTAAAAGAAAGGAAGAAAAAAACAGGGTGAAAAATAAAGAGTATGTGTATGTAAATGATAGATGGATAGAGCAGAGGAAGAGAGGGAGGAGGAGAAGGAGGAGTAGAGGGAGTAGAGAGGCTGAATGTTTCCACCTGGTTGGTAATCCAGTCAGATTACCACCGCCTGACAGCACCCACTGGCCGTCTTCCCCGACTCCTCAGCCTGGCGTCTCCGCTGCCTCTCAAGAGTGAGACTGAGTGAAAGTGAGAGAGAGGAGACGCTTGCCTCTGTGTGTGTGTATGTGTGTGTGTATGTGTGTGTGTATGTGTGTGTGTGTGTGTGAGATGAGTCAGCAGTGGGTGAGCCTCTGACAGACCCGGCCCCCCTCACCTCACCAATGGTACCCAGGGTACAAGGAGCACATCCCGCGTGCAGCGCGCAAGACGACCCCCTGTGTGGAGGAGACAGGTGGTGGAGGCTGCAGCCAGCCGAGCTGCGATTGGACGCAGTGATAAAGGGGCAGAGAGTAAACTGTCAATTCAGTTAACCCAGTTTTTACCAATGTAGCGCCAATTTTACCCAAAGCGTGTGAAAACCACCCAAGACAATGGGCTGTTTTAACCCGTCATTATTATCTTTTTTTTTTACTTTTGGGTTATTTAAACAAAGTTAAATATAGTTGTTTTTTTTTACAAACTGTTATAATCTATAAAAGCTCAGCACTATTTGTCACTGATTGTTAATAATATGTAATTTTAACATTACATCCACATCATTTTGCACAACTATACTAAATATATTTAAGGTAAAACTTGATCTTATCGTGTTTAATACTGTGTCAAAATAACCATATTTTAGTTTTGGTAAATAATCCAACAGTGATTTAAATAACAAGATAACACCAGGTCAAAACACCCAATTTAATCTAGATGGAGTTAATCCACTTAAAAGTATTGTGGACT